CATCTCGTAGGCGGATTTGTCTCCCTCGTTTGATTTAGTGGCGGTGCAGTTCAGCTGATGGCATGCACACGAAATGGCCTCGGCCCACAACCCGGGGTGATTCGGTGCGTCAGGGAAAAGTTGCACCGCTTGGATGCGTGACGCAAGCGCGGCATCAGTGATCAACCCTAGCGCTCTCTCCGCTACACCCTTGTATTTTCCGGTGTGAGGGGGGGTGAACTCTTGTTTGATGCCGTGTCTGCGGCAAACTTCCGCAAACTGCCCCTGGAACTCGCCGCCACCGTCTGTACGTGCGATATAAGCCTCACACGGAACCCCTTTTGTTCGGTAGTTCGCCAGGAACTTCTCACCCAACCGCTGCGTCAGACTTGTGTTTCAAGAAGAAAACACGCGTCCAACGGGAGAAATCGTCTCTGATGGTCAGTGTGTACCAGTTGCCACCAATGCTCGTGGTTTTCATCTTTCCCCCCACGTCGAGATACACGCGAAATAACTTCTCAACTGCGTGTGCGCTCGTGCTCTTCTGGACGGGTTTCACCTGTCCCTTGGACATCGAACAGCCAAGACAGGGTAGCAGCGGTCCATCCGTCAGCTGCACTCCCTGCTGCTACGCCCTGATCCTGAGCAATGTCTCGTGGGCATGGCCGTGCGCGAGGTTGTACTCGTTGAGGTCAGTGGGGTTGGCTGCTTCCGCATCGCCAGGAACAATGAGTGCGGCACAGGTGGTGTGTAGCGTTGGCTTATTTGGTTCCCTCGTTGGGTCAGCAACTTTCCAGTCCGGGGGAACCACACCTCCCCCCGGCTTTCGTGGTCAGCGTGAGGCCCCCCTTCATCCCCGAATACGTGTGGCCCCCCTCCGCCAACGAAGACAGCGAGACGAGGTTGTAGGGGGCCTCTGGTACATGGGCAGCATTCAGTACTGGTACGGGTACTCCACCATCTTCCGTCTGTAGGACTAAGGTCACATCTCCGTATCCTAGAAGAGGAACGGGGGCCTTGTCGCCTCCGATCCCCTTCACACAACCGCTACGCTCACGGTTGTTCACCAAGTTGTCTGCACATCGGAACATGGCGCACGGGCCGCTGTGTCGGCCACGTACACCGCCTGGCCTTGTTCCACAACCCTCACTAGACCTACTTCACCAACGGTACCACACTCGCCTGGGGGGACGGCCACGGCACAACACGCCTGGTCTTCCACGGAGTCCACGTCGCTCTCATGCTCCACCACTTGNCACAACCGCTACGCTCACGGTTGTTCACCAAGTTGTCTGCACATCGGAACATGGCGCACGGGCCGCTGTGTCGGCCACGTACACCGCCTGGCCTTGTTCCACAACCCCCACTAGACCTACTTCACCAACGGTACCACACTCGCCTGGGGGGACTGCCACGGCACAAAACGCCTGGTCTTCCACGGAGTCCACGTCGCTCTCATGCTCCACCACTTGCGCTAGGACGGCCTCCTCCGTCGCGCACTTTTCTTTGGTGTGGCCCCACCCCTCGCAGCGCGCACACCACGGCACGAAGTGCTTCTCGTTGGTAATGCAGCCGATCGCTTGATGTCCATAATGTCCACACCTAAAGCACCGGCCCGGGAGCTTGTAGTCCTCGCCACCGCCGCCATCGGCGCCTCCACTGCTGCTTCCCTTGCTCTCCTCAACTCCTCATGATCCGCCTGAGCGACCGCCGCGATCGCCGCCGCCGCGGCCACGACTGCTGCTGCTGCCGCGGCCGCCGCCACGACCACGACCTTGCCCCTGACTCCTACTTGAGTACCGCTCCCTGCGGCCCTCACCGTCGGCAAAGTACACTTGCTCTGCGCCCTTCGCCCCTTTTCCTTTCCCCTGGTCCAGCCTGTCCTTGATCGCCTTGTATTCCATCATTACTTCCTTTAGCACACCGGACCGCGTCAACTCCTTCGCGTGTCGCAGGTTGAGCTTTGTCATGGCATACTCGTCCGAAAGGGTATCCAGGAAGAGGTGAAGGACGAACGTTTCGTTGACAGTTAGTCCTTTCTCGGTTAAGGGCTTTGCTGTTTGGAGCATCTCATTGAGGGCGTTTTGGGGGTTTTCACCCCAATGGATCTTGGTCGACGTCAGGGACTTGAGGTCGTCTGACGACTGTACAGATGATTCAGGGTCGTGTTTGGTCTTGAGCTCACGAAGAGCTCCCTGGGGCGTCTCTGCCCTCTTCGTGATTTTCCAATCTTTTTCTTTCAACGCGTGAGACAGGAAGTTCCACGCGTGGAATGCGAGCTCTACTTGCTCGCTCCGGTACTGCTGTGACAGCGAAAACTTGCTCGTTCCGCTGTTGACGGGGATCTCCAAGCTCTCGCTCTCTTCAAATTGTTCCAACAGGTTTGCGCCATTCGCTGCCATGCGGAAATCATTTAGCCATTCGTTGAAATCTTTCGATTTCCCGCTGAACGGAGGAGAAGTGTACCGCACACTTTGGTACCCCGTCGCTAGAGTTGTGGCTCCGTATCCAAAGCCAACAGCAGCATTACCATCTTCCATGGCACTACTATAATCTTGGTTGTGAGCAGCGGCTACTCTCACCTCTTGGGGGACAAAGCCCCCTGCTTCGCCGCTGTGTCGCCCTGACGGGCCAGACTCTCGAACAGGTTCGCGCAGGTACCTCCCGTCCTGCGCACTCCCGGTCCACGGTGCCCCTCCTTCGGCGTTCGTGGACTCCGCGGCGGCGCTCTCCCGAGCATCGCCGCGATCAGCGGCATCCTCCATGTTGCCAGCTGGCTCGTGCTTTTTGCTTGCCTTCATGGTATATTCCACTAGCGACATTACCTGGCTCATCTGATCCGTCAGCGAGCTAACTTGCGTCCTCAGGGCCACGAGCTCTTCTCTTGACCTCTTTCTGTCTTCCGCCGCAGAGTCGCTGCAGGAGTCACCCCCATGTTTGCGACCTAAAATTCCTATTGAACTCTCCCTCGAGGGACTGACACTAGTGTGTTCGTATACTTATAATATATAAAGTATGTCCTTTACTTGGAAGGGGAAGACGTTTCATCTCTTGCATCAGACGCGCAAGGGGAGTAGGGAGAAGTGAAGCCCTCTTTGTTGGAGTTCGAGGGGTCCCCGCACATGCAACCATTTCAAGGTGTACATATGACCCATCTGCGTGCCCTCTGTTGTTGCCGGTAGATCTAACCAGTCCGTATCCAAACACACGAACACATAGCACGAGGCGTTGTCGGCAATCCTCGAGGGGGAAAGCTAGAACCGCTCAATCGATAACAAAGCCGTTACTGAGCACCACGTGCTGCCGTCGCGGTTTTGGTTGGGAAATGTGTCCCAAAACACCTGATCCTCTTAGATGCTCTGCGATACACGTGCTGGAGAACAAAGTCGGGCTACAAAAAACAAGTTTCAGCGTAATCGTGCGTTTAAAGGGCCTGACCTAGAATTGCACTCGCACCTTCAACCTCGGCGTTTTTGTCAGTTTTTAGAACGCCAACCTGACTCTCTCGCATTTCTCAAGAGGGCGGGCACTGGCACTGGCTGTGGTCTTGGTTGTTGATGCGCTTTCGTTGTTCCCTCCAAAGTAGAAAGGGTTATCTCCAGCAGGTCTTGCTCCATTTCTCTTCAACAGCGGGAAGCGACTATCCCCGGTCGAACACACGCTGAAAAAAGGGCAGAAGGAACAAAAATTACCGAGAGCTACATGTACTCTACCACTTTGAGAATAGCATTTTTTTACTTTAAGCGCCTGCGTATGTGGAGCAAAGGAAGAACAAACATGCCGCGCCCGAAAAGCAGCCCCACAAAAAAAAGAAGCTGAAAGCCTTCCATCGCTCCAGCTTGGATCCTATGTCTCGGCCTCTACTGACGCTGCAGGAGCACCACGACCACCACAAACAATTTGCTACACCGCTCGCAACCCTATCAAGTTGAGGGTCGGTCATCGTCAGGTTTCTCCACTCGACCAGGTGGGCCCCTCTCCGCACCCCGGATTATTTGGAAGAAGAGCTTCACATGCAATCTCTCACAAAAAAAAAAGGAATCGACGACACCGTCCAAGCTCCAAATAACAGCCTGATGGATCAAATCCCTCCTTTCCACCCCTCCAAACTACATTACACCAAATAAAGGTCTACAATCCAACTGAAATAAGGAAGACCCGCACGTACAAACGCACCCGTCTTGGTGCAGAAAATCGTAACGAAGGGCATCCCGCCTTCATCCGCCAAAGAACGTGCTGCGGAGGGTTACCCTGGACAAGACCGAGCCCCGCCACGCCATGCGCGTTGTTGTACAACGTTTTTCTTCCAAGAGACACAAAGCTCTGACTGTTCGTCTTCCACTCCCCCTGGATCTATCTCTCGCTTCCGGGATCCTTTCCAACATCGCAAGGTCCTGGCCCCTGCTACGCCACGCTACTGCAGTATGCTGCCCCCTCCGCTTGGTCACAAGCAACACATGTGCGTGCTCAAGTCAAGCCTCCACTTTTGCTGACCCCTCTCCAATCTCCCCCTACAACCGCGGAGGATTCGGTGTTCTCCCTTGCACTTTTTAGCTCCCGCGCCTTGTACAATAGTTCTGGTACCCTCGCCTGTGGTGAGTGCATGTTCAAGAGACCACGAGCAATTAGCCGTGTCCCAAACGTTTGGTCCATCCACCTCCCCCCCCTCCGAGATCAATGGTCTAACGACTACGGCATGCACGACTATGAGTACCCAACCCCCCCCCCCCCCCCCC